AAGGCCAATATGGTGGCCGATGCTTTGAGTAGGAAGTCAATCAGTATGGGCAGTCTCGCTTATATTCCGGTCGGTGAAAGGCTGCTTGCCTTGGATGTTCAAGATTTGGCCAATCAGTTCGCGAGGTTGGACGTTTCTGAGCCCAACCGTGTGTTAGCTTGCACGGTCGCTCGTTCTTCTTTATTGGAGCGTATCCGTGATCGGCAATATGATGATCCCCATTAGTGTGTCCTTAGAGACACGGTGCAGCTCGGAGGTGCCAAGCAGGTTACCTTAGGTGATGATGGAGTTTTGAGAGTGCAGGGTCGAGTTTGTGTGCCTAATGTGGATGGGCTCTGAGAGTTGATTTTAGAGGAGGATCATAGTTTCAGGTACTCTATTCATCCGGGCGCCGCTAAGATGTATCAGGATTTGTGGCAGCATTATTGGTGGCAGAGAATGAAGAAGGATATCATCAAATATGTGGTTCGGTGTTTGAATTATCGGCAGGTTAAGTACGAGCATCAGATACTTGGTGGTTTATTTTAAAGGATTGAGCTTCCCGAGTGGAAGTGGGAGCGGGTCACTATGGATTTCATTGTTGGACTCCCGCAGATTTGGAGGAAGTTCAACGCAGTATGGGTCATTGTTGATAGGCTAACCAAGTCAGCGCATTTCATTCATGTGGTAGTCTCCTATTCATCCGAGAGATTGGCTAAGATCTATATCCGGGAGATTGTTCGTCTTTATGGTGGGCCTGTGTCTATCATTTTGGACCGAGCTACGCAGTTTACCTCGCGTTTTTGGAGAGCATTTCAGCGAGAGTTGGGCATGTGGGTTGAGTTGAGCACAGCATTTCATCGTCAAACAGACGGGCAGTCCAAGGGGACTATTCAGATTTTGGAAGATATGCTCCGAGTTTGTGTCATTGACTTTGGAGGCTCGTGGGATCAGTTTTTTGCCTTTAGCAGAGTTTTCCTACAACAATAGCTACCAGTCGAGTATCCAGATGGCCCCTTATGAGGCTTTATATAGTAGGCGATGTCGGTCTCCGGTTGGATGGTTTAAGCCGGGAGAGGCTCTATTGTTCGGTACGGATCTTGTTCAGGATGCCTTGGACAAGGTCAGGATTATTCAGGATAGGCTTCGTACAGCTCAGTCCAGGAAAAAGAGTTATGCCGACCGCAAGGTTCGTGATTTGGCATTCATCGTCGGTGAGCGGTTATTGCTTCTAGTGTCTCCTATGAAGGGCGTGATGAGATTTGGGAAGAAGGGCAAGCTTAGCCCTAGGTTCATTGGCCTGTTTGAGATTCTTGATCGAGTGGGAGAGGTGGCTTATAGACTTGCATTGCCGTTGAGCTTATCAGCCGTGCATCCAGTGTTTCATGTGTCCATGCTTTGGAAATATCACGGCGATCCATCCCACGTGTTAGATTTCAGTACTGTCCAGTTGGACAAGGACTTGTCTTATGAGGAGGAGTCGGTAGATATTCTAGACCTGCAGGTTCGTCAGTTGAGATCAAAGATTTTTCCTTCTGTTCATGTTCAGTAGAGAGGTCAGCCTCCTGAGGCATCGATCTGGGAGTTCGAGTCCGATATGCGGAGCCGTTATCCCCATCTTTTTCCCGACTCAGGTACATCCTTCTTATGTCCGTTCGAGGACGAGCGGTTGTTTTAGAGGTGGAGAATGTGATTACCCAAAAGGTCATCACTTGTGTTGCAAATGAATTCAGTATTCCGAGGCCTAAAAACCTCCTTATTACCCCATCTTGATTTACGTGCGTGGTCCAGACCTATATCCGGAAAACCTTCTATGTGAAAATATGAGAAATAAAAATTTTAGAGTTAAATATTTTTTATTATGCTTGACTTTGGTCAACATTTTTAGAAAACGGACCCAAATCCGTGTTCCGACGATCCTGGGAGGTCCGCAGTAAAATATGGGACTTGGGCGTATGCCCGGAAATGAATTCCGAGGTCCCAAGCCTTAGAAATCAATTTTTGAAAGAAATTATTTTATTGAATTATCTAAAAAATAAATAAAAGTATTAATATTTGAAACCATTGTTATCGGGACCGTATTTTGATTTCGGAGCCCGGTACAAACTTGTCATAGTATTTGAAAGATAACTGTGAAATTTGGTGAAAAACAGAGTTTATTTGACATGAGTTGGACTTCCGGTTAAAGAGTTATGAACTTTGAGAGTTCTTGATGAAAATGTTGAGTCTTGAGGTTTAATTCATGATTTTTACATGTTATTTTAATGATGTGATCGCACGAGTAGGTCCATATGATGTTTTGAGTTAGTATGCACACTTGGTTTGGAGTTCCGAGGGTTCGGGTGAGTTTCGGGTAGGTTCCGAGGTGTCTTGGGCCTAAAACATAGTTGTTGCAGGCTCAGGGAAGTGGAAGGCCTCTGAACAAACCAGTGCAGTCCGCACAAAATGGAGTGCTGCCGCGGAGGGGCCTGTGCGGCCGCACTAGATTATGTGCGGTCCGCGGTGAAGAATATTTCGCTGGTCCAACTTCGGAAGCCTATATCTTTTGATCTACAAGGAATTTTGAGATTATTTATAAACGAAAGTTGTAGCCCTTCATGTCTAGTTTCCAGAAAGGTAAAGAAATCACAATTTGGACATCTATAGAGAAAGGTATGACCAAAACTCTAAAGCATGTCACTGCAGTCCACAGGAAGGACTGTGTGGCCGCAGTCGATTTTGTGCGGTCCGCACAGGGGGTCTGAGAGGGGTATATTTAGACAGGATTTACAGTTATTTTTCATTTTTCAAGACCCCAAAAATATAAGAGGTGATTTTTCAAACAACCTTTCTTCTCCAAAACGTTGGTAAGTGTTTTCTAACTCATTTTCTTCACTCCTTAACATCTTTTAACATGATTTCAACTCAAAAGCAATGATTTTCACGGGGAAAATTGAGTGTTTTGGGTAGAACCTAGGTTTTTCAAAAATTGGGGATTTGGACCTCGATATTTGGGTCCATGGGGTAATGGATAATCGGGTTTTGGTTCGAACCTCGGGTTTTGACCATGTGGGTCCGGGGGCGATTTTTGACTTTTTGGGTAAAACTTTAGAAAACTGCATTCAAATTGATTTATTTAGCGTTTATTGATGTAATTAAGTAACTTGTGACTAGATACGAGCGTATTGGTGGTGGAATCAAGGGGTAAAGCTATAATTGAATCGTGAATTGTGTTCATGGCATCGAGGTAAGTGTTTGGTCTAACCTTAGCTTGAGGGATTAGGAGTTGTGTTCTATTTGCAATTTTATTCTTGTTGAGTATGACGTATAGGCATGGTGATGAGTATCTATACGTTGGTGTCAAGCATGACCGTGAGTCTTATATTATGCTTTTCATGACTTCAGTGTATTATTCATGCCTTGGTAAAGATTTCTATTTGTTGTGTAAAGTTGTGGAAGAATTGTGACCTATGAACATTGAGGAGCGTTGGCTCCAGTTGTAATAAAAATTATGAAAGTATAAGTGATAATTGAACCTCTAGAGCGTTGGCTCGAGTTGTGAAGTGAATTGTGAAGTAAATGTGAGAAAGAGGAGAGATCATTATGTCGCCCCCTTGCCAGGCTATTGTTTAGTTGTGGTTCCCTGGAATTGTGTTCTTAATGAATATTACGGATGCTCAGGTTGATGATTCTTCGTGTTGGGTAAGGATTATGGTTATTCTCGTGGAGCTAGTTGAGTTATAGTTGAGGTAGTTAGATGTTGGAACAAGTTTGACTATAGTTGAGGTAGTTAGATGTTGTAATAAGTTTGATTATAGCTGAGGTAGTTAGATATTGTAACAAGTTTGTTTATAGCTGTTTCTTCCTTGCCAGAACGTATTTACTTGTGATGTCGAATCCCTTGCCGGGATAGTGTAGACCTTATTGATCCCTTGTCGGGACTCTCGTTATAATTGTAAATATTATATATATGGATCGGGTTGCACGCCGCAACAATATTATATATGGATCGGGTTGCACGCCGCAACAATATTATACATGGATCGGGTTGCACGCCGCAACAATATTATATATGGATCGGGTTGCACGCCGCAATAATATTATATATGGATTGGGTTGCACACCACAACAAAGATATGATGAAATGGGAGCGGGTGGTACGTCTACTACAAGATATGATAAAATGGGAGCGGGTGGTACGCCTACCACAAGATGTAGTGAAATTGGAGCGGGTGGTACGCCTACCACGAGATACAGGAAATGGGATCGGGTTGCACGCCTGCAACAAGATGTGAAAAGAAAGTGAAATCTGCCTTTGTTTTCCATATTCTTGTTAGTGGTTGGATTTTGATTCCTTAATAATTCTCATGATATTATGTTTTTACCTGTTATTCCCCGAAACATGTTTCCCCTCCCATCTTTACTTGTTTATTTCTGCTTTACTTCCCGCTGCATATTATATAACTGCACAGGTTTATTTGGTGGTCTGGTCCTAGCCTCGTCACTACTTCGTCGAGGTTAGGCTAGACACTTACCAGTACATGGGGTCTGCTGTGCAGATACTACACTCTGCACTCTTTTGTGCATACCCTAGTGTTGTGGTCTTCGGACCGTAGTGAGATTGATGATTCTTGATCATCAGGTGACCCGAGGTAGTCCTGCAGGTATCCACAGGCCTTGGTGTCTCCTTCTATCTACTGTTCCTGTTTCTTTCTTGCATTTCTAGAGACAGTGTTGTATTTATTCCTTTCAGACCCTTTATTTGTAGTATTCTTAGACCGTCTATGAAACTGTGACACCAGTTCTGGGTAGTCGAGACTCAAACAGTTGTATTACATATTCATGTTCAGATAGTTTATTGTTTCTTTCTTTCGCTTGTGTTAAATTCTGTTGTTTAAATGTTATTATTTCGAAATTGTTAATGAATATAAAATGGGTAAAAAGGTAAATTGTGCAACTAATTGGCTTGCCTAGCTCGTACTAGTAGGTTCCATCACGACTCCCGAGGGTGGGAATCCGGGTCGTGAGAATATCCTAAGTGCCTAATTTTCTTTGGGAGCTGCATCTTCATCATCAAAATCCCCTATACTCTCGAATCCACTAGCGCTCCCAAAATCATCATCATCAGAAGAGAGCAACGCTTTGGCTTTAGCCTTGAGTACTTTCGCGTTCTCGATATCGACGGCAAGGTCAAAGCCACCAGCATGAATCTACTCAAGAGTCTCTCTTCGAGACTGGTACTTGGCATGCTTGCAACCTAGTATGATCGAGTCTGACTTGTATCAGCAACTTCCTTTTGCTCGATTTTGAGCAGCTTCGGCATTATCTTGGTAGCCAGCCACGATCGCCGCTGCATCAGCCTTTACTATTTATGCCTCAGATGTGGTTTTTGCAAGTTCGGTGGCCAATCGAGCCTCAAACTCCCCAATTTTCTTGGCTCGGGCCGAGCTTTCCTCCTTCATGCTTTGAAGTTGACGTTTGGCCAATGACTGTTGGGATCGAGCAGTATCTTTTTTTGAGGCAAGGCGGTCCATGTTTTGCTTCCACCCTAAAGTCTCCGCCTTCATCATGTTGGCCTCCTCACGAAGCTGCTCGATCTTTTCGGCCTTCTGCTGAACCTGTAGGATCAATGTATTAGTCATTGTTCCCAAATTGATACATCGAGCTTCTTAAAAAAATTTCATTACTTGGTCAATCAGGTCGGTCTGCTCTTTATGAGATGTGGCCAATTCGGCTCGGAGCTCCTTGACCTCCTCTTCTTTTTGCCCACTGAGAAGTTTGAGGGCATTTCCCTCCTCCGTCAACCTTTTAAGATTGGCCTAACACCGGCTTAGATCTGCCCCAGGATTTAGAAAACGCTTCCTGATATAGTGTCAAGGCCTATGAAGAAAGAAAGGAAATCAGGAAAGAAGAAATAAATTCAAGTGTAATATTGAGGAAGTGAGCTGAGGCTTACCCAGCTCAAGATTCGTTGAGCCTTATCGAAGAGACTTGATGCATCACCCAGGTCGGTAGCATCTTCAGCTCTCATGAAGCAACCACGGGAAAGGTCCTCCCCTTCGTGGGTCGTTCCCACATCGGGGGTCCCCATGGCCTGGGCTTCTTGAATTTGCCCCTCAAAAAATGTAGGGAGGGGCGGCGAATCGCCAATATCTATTTCCCTAAGCAAGTCACTTGGGGCATTCTCTTCATTTTGAAGGGCCTCGAAATCGGCCCTTTCAGGCACATCCGCCGATTGCTCATCACGGCGGGAGGCATCTTCAGCCCCCGACGACTCGGGGACTTTGCTTGGGCCATCTTCCGAGATCTCCTCGGTCCAAGGATGAACCTCTTCGTTCATCACCGGCTCAGCGGCCTTTGGGGCCTCAGCACTCCTCTTCATTCGGGCTACTAGCTCGAAGCCAGCATCTTCATTCTTCTCTTCTTCCTCCCTTAATCGTTGAGCTACATCAGCAGGCAAGACGGTAGTGTCTTTCTTCGACCAGTGAGCCTTGCTCTTCTTGGGCTTTGGAGTATCGGAGGGCGAGACCCTTTTTCTTTTCTTTTCCTTTGACGGCTTCGGTACCGAGGGCAAAACCTCCTCCTCACCCGACGGGTGCCTCATGACGGAATTATTATTGAGGCCTGTATGATAGTAAATCAAGTGAGTATAAGAGGGAAATATTTTAAAGCCATCAAATACGTAAAGAAAAGGCTTACCGTGATTTTTGGCCTTCCATCGGCCCATTTCTAAATCGCTCCATGAGTGCTCAACGTACGAGGAGGTCGAAGCTAGGCTCCGAACCCAACTCTCAAGGTTCGGAATTGCACCAGGCATCCAAGCGACCGCTACATTATAGAAAAGGATGTTGATGGGGAGAAGTAAAGGAAACCAAACAACAAATAGAAGCTAAAGAAAGGATTGAACTTACGCTTCATATTCTATTTCTTGGGAAATGGCATCTTCTCGGCCGGAATTATGTCGAAAGTCTTCACTCGAACGAACCGACCCATCCACCCTCGATCATTGTCCTCGTCTATGCTCGAGAACACCTTGGTGTCCCAAAGCTGAAGCTTTATCAACCTACCTCGAAAAAGATGGGGTCTATACAGCCTAATGAGATGGTCGAGGGTGAAAGGTGTCCCTTATTTTTTGCTCGTGAAAAATTGGAACAGAATGACAATCCGCCAAAAGGAAGAGTGGATCTCACCTAGGGTTATTTGGTATTGGCGGCTGTAATACCCTATATTTTTAGTAAGGGTGTATTGGTCATTAGCAAAATAATAATAATAATAATAATAATAATAATAATAATAATAATAATAATAATAATAATAATAATAATAATAATAATATTGTAATAAGAAACTAACTATTTAAAAAAGGGACAAAACTAACTAAATAAAAAAAATAAAAAAAATAGGAATTAAAATAAAGGGCCAAGCCCATTAGTGCAATTGAATAACAAAAGGGTTAGAAAGCTTTCAAAAGCTTTCTGAAGCAAAAGACGCAGAAAGCAAAATGGCAACAAAAAAAAAGAAACGAACGGAGAAAAAAATAGGGAAAAGAGAAGAAGAAGAAGAAGAAGAAGAAGAAGAAGAAGAAGAAGAAGAAGAAGAAGAAGAAGAAGAAGAAGAAGAAGAAGAAGAAGAAGAAAGTTTTGGGAAAAGGCCTTAAGAAAAATTGGGAGTTGAAATTGAAAGTATTAAAGCTCTCCTTCGATTCAAGAGGTTGACCTTCTTCTCCTCATATGTTGAATTATTTCACTGCATCTATGCAAATTCATGTAGTACAAAAGAATTCAATATCAATTCTCTTTTATATAAAAAGAAATATACAATTACTATGGAGATAACAAGGCTATAAAGGTTTGGTTTAAGCACTGATAGGTCTAATTTTAGAGGAGTAAATTGTACTAAATAGTTTGAAATTGATAAAATTATGGACTAGTTCTATGATTAAATATAAGTCCACAAATTTAGACTCAAACATGAACCCCGATAATTTGGTATTCGAAATTAGCTATAAATTAGCCTAAACAAGAAATTAATATGAGATCGATATTATGTAATTATAGATTGATTGGAGGAATTTGTATGAATTGCTCGAGGTGAAGCATTTGGTATTTCGGCACGAGTACGGTGAGTAGTAATCTTACCGCAATTTGTGTTTTCATAACTTGCATGATTTACACATGATTTTTAATATGAATATGTTACCAATTATTTTGAGTTGCATGTGGGACAAGTCTTTTACTCGATATGATACCGAAATAGTTATTTGACATGATTGTCGTTGTTTTAAATATTCTTGTTGTCACTAGATATATTTTACCATTACTTGAATTTACTGTTATCGAAATGAAATTACATGATTTGAAAGACCCGAAATGCCCTCTATTGTTTTAAATATTTTCCTATGAGTATATGCAGATACAACGGCAAGTATAAATGGGAGTATACTTTGAAGGATCCCGTACCTAACGACGGGTTCGTTAGACCTGGTACATCTAGTATTTATCGATTACAGAGTACAATTATAGCCCTTTCTAGTGGGAAGGTGGAACTAGCATACCGTTATCGATTTTTCTCGAGTAGGGACTACTGTTATATTTGACGTCTTGCGAAGAAGTCCACAGTTATGCCGATTACATGATATGTTCGTTGAAACCTCCCAAAATGTGAATACTGATATTATACAGTGGTTACCGAGCTTATTACTGAATTGTTAAAATTGTATTATACTACAGGAAAAGTATGATGAGACTGAAAATTATTTATTATTTCTGAAAGGGCATTTTTATGTTATTTTCTGTTTGAGATACTAGCATGTTTTCTAACTTGTCTCCAATAAAAATGGTTGTGGTTATGTGTAACTACTCACTCAGCTAGCGACTCATTCCCCGCTAATTTTTTTTACAGAGATAGCAGTTGACGCGGGCAAGGATTTCATTAATTAGAGTGCACAGGTTGATAGTTCTTGGTGAGCCTCGCACTTGTTCGCGTGGGCGGAAATTTTATCAATTGTTATGGTCTTTTCTTTGAACTCTTAGGGTCGCTCCATGTCATTCTTTTAGTGTCTTGAGTATTCTTTGTTATTATAGACTTATGTTGAGTATCACTCATTCTTATCAAATTTGGAGATAAAGTTATATTTCTAGCTGTTATTAGTGGGTGGACTATTAAAGGTAGATATTTATTTTGGTTAATTGATAAAGTGTCACGACCCGGATTTTCCACCCTCGGGAGTCGTGATGGCGCTTACTTGTGAAAGCTAGGCAAGCCTCGTATTATAGAATCACCAAATCTTTTATTTAGCCCTTTTTAATAATTTAAATTAACATGAGATCAACAATGAAATATTAACGATAAAATAAATACAAGCGGAAGACGTAATCTGATAACTTAGCCCAAAAAAAACCAGTACGACAATACCAACATACATCTTTACCCGAAATCCGGTGTCACAATATCACGGACCATGTATGAATACTATATACAAGTGTCTGGAAAGAAAGGTACAATTTGTCTCTGAAGTAAATGGAAACAGAATACATATAAGGATAGAAGAGAACACCGGGCCTGCGAACGCCTGCAGGACTACCTCGGCATCTCTGATTGGACTGAAGACAGCCACCCAAAGCTACAGTCCAAAAGTTGTCGCTCCGGGATCTGCACATAGTGCAGAGTGTAGTATAAGCACAACCGACCCTATGTGCTGGTAAGTGCCTAGCCTAACCCCCGCGAAGTAGTGACGAGGCTAGGACCAGACTACCAGATAAACCTGTACAGTTATATAATATGCAGCGGAAAATAAAACAGGAATAAACAAGTAAAGATGGGAGGGGGTACATGTTGCGGGGGAATATGACTACCAACAGTAAATTAAGAGAAAGGCATAAGGACAATCTAGAATTTACAGTGAAACAATAAGGAACTCGTAACCAATCCATAAACACTTTGTATTCTCAATTATTGCGGCGCGCAACCCGATCCCAAAATATAATAATACGCTTGAGGCGTGCAACCCGATCCAGTTATATTATTGTTGCGACATGCAACTCGATCCAATTATATCATTATTGCGGTGTGCAACCCAATCCGAGCATAATATTGTTGCGGCGTGCAACCCGATCCCAAAACATAATATTGTTGCGGCTTGCAGCCCGATTCAAATATAATATTGTAGCGGCGCGCAACCAGATCCAAATATAATATTATTGCGTCGTGCAACCCGAACCAAATATAATATTGTTGTGGCGCACAACCCGGTCCATATATATAGTTCAACACCAATCACAACAAGAGTCCCGGCAAGGGATTAATAAAGAAACAACACTATCCCGGCAAAAGAATCGACAGTATAAGTAAATACGTCCCGGCAAGGGAAAATCAGCTATAACCAAACTTGTTCCAACATCTAACTACCTCAACTAGCACCAATACTCAATCATAAGTAATTTCCATGAGAATAATCATAATCCTTGCTCAACACAGAGAATCAACAACTTAGGCATTTGTAGTATTTATTAAGAACACAACCATTTCAATTTAAGACTCACGGTCATGCTTGACACCAACGTATAGATACTCGTCACCATGCCTATACGTCGTACTAAACAAGTAACATGTAACAAATAGGACACAACTCCTAATCTCTCAAGCTAAGGTTAGACCAAACACTTACCTCGATGCCACGAACACAATTCGAATCTCAACTATCGCTTTACCTCTTGATTCCACCACCAATTTGCGCGTATCTAGCCACAAGTTACTTAATTACATCAATAAATGCTCATTGAATCAATTCTAATGCCTGAAAATAAGTTTTCCAAAGTTTTGCCCAAAAAGTCAAAAATCGCCCCCATGCCCAAATAGTCAAAACTCGAAGTTCGAACCAAAACCCGATTACCCATTCCCACACGAACCCAAATATATAATTTGTTTTGAAATCGAACCTCAAATCGAGGTTCAAATCCCCAAAATTTGAAAAACCTAGGTTCTACCCAAACCACCCAATTTCCCCCATGAAAATCATTGATTTTGATTTGAAATCATGTGAAAAGATGTTAATGATTAAAGAAAACGAGTTAAAATTGACTTACAATCAATTTGGAAGAAGAGTTGTCTTTGGAAAATTGCCCGAGAGTGTTTTGGTTTTGAAAGAGTGTGAAAAATGAAAGATTTTTGGCTAAGTTATAAAATTGCAGGTTGCAGATGTCGCAATTGCGAACCTAGACTTCTGCTAAGCTTGCATTTGCGAAGCAGCTTTCGCATTTGCGAAGTGGGAATTGCGAACAACATGTCGCATTTGCGACGACTGGCTACAAATTGTGCGATCGCATTTGCGATAAATCCCTCGCATTTGCGAGTCAAGCTGGCCTGGGCTATTTTTCGCATTTGCGACAAAGCCTTCGCATTTGCGAACTTACATTTGTGAACCAGGCTTCGCAAATGCGAAGCCTGCATGCCTGCAATGCAACAGTTGAAGTCTGAAACTTTCCAAGTCCAAAATCCACACCGTGGCCTATCCAAAATAGACCCGAGCCCTCGGGGCTCCAAACCAAACATGCACACCAACCTAAAAACATCATACGAACTCGCTCGTGCATTCAAATCACGAAAATAACATCAACAACTGTGAATTTAGCATCAAAATCATGAAATTTCTTAAGAACTTCAAATTTTCCAAATTTTTCTCAAATACGATCTGATTCACATCATCTCAAGTTTGTTTATTACCAAATTTCATAGACTTATCTTAAATCACATATAAGACCTGTACGGGGTGCCAGAACCAAAATACGGGCCCGATACCATCAAGTTTTAATCACATTT